AAAAAAGGGGGGGGGGCGGTCTTACGGGCTCTACCAAAATCCCCAACTAATGCTGTACCCTGTGCCTAATGGAACTGCCGCGCACAGTTAGGGGTAAAACAGCGCGGTATAGCAGTCGTTTTGAAATTTCCAGAGAACGCTGAAACAATAAAGGCGGAGCTGCGCTCAAATAGGACGACATGCCAACAGCCACTGAGCTGTACGTACTGTTGTAGCTTACCCGCCATATAACTCTACTATGCTTGCAACGGGCTCTACCACCGTATTTTGAAGTGGGTGATCCATATCCATCTCCTGTGTTGTTTGGTCTTTGCCACTGAAACAGTAACTTTTGAAATGAGAAAGAATAAGAAGAAATGGCGATCTTTTTCTGTGCTTCCACAAACCCAGCATGTGTAGATATAGGTGCAAATGGCGTTAACACTGCAGACACCCAGCTTTCCCTGGTCGACAAAATACTGAAAATAAGTACTAGAATGAACATAGTTGGTGATACAGCATTTCTCGTTAGATGGCCTACCCTGTGACGCTTGCAGCAGATTCAGAACTATATGGAGTTGCCACGACATTTTTGACATCCTCCGGAACAGGCACCGGCTCAAGTTCATTCTAAACAGGACTATTTGCTTGGCTGTGAAATTACTGGCATTGTTTTCCACAACAGCTTACTGCGTAAGGTCCTGGGTCACAAAGCTTTTTGAGCACGGGATCTTCGGTAGTTTCCAAGTCAATGGGCACAAGCTGAACCCTGCTGACCATGAGTTCAAAAAAACAGCATGAGATTGGTCCACAATTTCCGAAACACATTGGCACTTCTTGAAAATTATTTGTCCCTAATTCGCAGAATACATCACAAGTATCTATAACATACGTTCAAAGCGCAGGATATTAAGGACATTGAGGACTGCAGCGAAGGATCTAGTAGGACATGACATAGGTGTCGCGGAATCCACGCCACATAAGAGCATGTCTAGAACTTGAAATTCTCTCAGACATTATATTAGCAATAAATGTATAGCCGGAAATTGTGGGCCACTCTGATACTCCAAGCATACAACTAAATAATGTCAAATAACTTAACGGCACATTCTACGAGAGTTTTAGTTATTTATTTAGATAAGATATTTATAAGATTCCGTGGTAACAAAAGAGGCTAACTTCCGGGTCGGCGGGTACGCTTAAGAACGACATCATCAAACGTGAAGCCGAGAACTCAGTCAGTAATCGCTCTATTCCAGTGGCATGACGAGCCAGGCCCACCTGATCTTCGAAACCTTGGCGAATGCGACAGCGCCCTCGATCTTCGCGGAGTAAGGAGCTTCAGATTTCTTGTCTACCTTGCGTGCAGCAAGAAACTGCGAGCATCGCTCTATCAATGACGCGTTGAATGACGCTTACGTATTAAGCCTGCTTTCGTAGAGTCCAAGTCTCAGAGGCCAGTCTCAGATGGGTGGTACAGTGCAGGAAGAACCGCGGAATCAAAGAGGTGGGCACGGAACTTGGTGTTCTTCGTCTTCTTCGCTACTCCCTCGATGTTCTTGAAGGCTCCCCAAGCCGCTCGCTTCCTCCTGCTCAGCTCTGGTGCTAAGTCGTTCATCATATTGATTTCCTGACCCAGGTTCACATAGTTCAATCAATCTCCCTCGAGCTCTTGGGATGTTCGCTTCTGTAGAACGAGCAGAGCATCGAAATCAGCTTATTCCTCATCTGCATGTATCGTTCTGTAGCTCGAGCAGAGGCATCGACTCAGCTTTACTCTTATTGTCATGGCGCTTGCAGACCTGCAAACAGATTTTTCCACACGTGGGTCTGAAATCAGCCAGTATTCTCTCTGTTTGCTTGATGTTTGCTGTTAATGTCGTCAGGAAAGCATAGATGGTGTAGTTGCCGCCCGTTGATCTTCACTCCTATGTCTTCGCATACCCAGTTATCGATAACGTTCTCGAGAGGAGCGGCAAAGATTTTGGACCAGAAGACGTCGTCCTTTCGAACTCTTGAATAATGATAACCTCCGTATAACCTTCTAGAATGGTGAGATCCTGTTCTTGCTGTGGAGCACGCGAAGAATCGCAATTTACTGAGTAGGAACACCCTGGTGCTTCAAGGCCTCAGTGTCTCAGCGAACTAGAAAGCTTCTTAAAAGTCGATGAACGTGAGGCAAACGGCATCTTCTACACTCGCGATACTCCAATGAGCTTCGTAATCGTGTAATGTGATCGGTGGTTCGGAATCCTTCCCAAAACCCTGCTTACTCACATGTCTGTCAGCCTCTGCTGTCTTTCATCGAGTGTTCTGCCAATTGTGCTTAGGATGACTCGTGCGAAGTTTGTAGACTACAGACAGCAGGCAGATTGGGCGATAATTGCCAATGTCGTACAGGTCTCCCTTCTTGTACAGCAACACAGTCTTGCTGGTTTTCCACGAGGTGGGTACCTTGCATTCCGACAGGTAGCGCGTGAAGAGTCGAGCCAGAGTTTTGACAAGAACTGGCGGAAGATTCTTCAGATGTTCGGGTCTGATCCTGTCGGGACCGGGTGCCGTACGATTTTTCACCAATGAGATAGCGTACCGGAGTTCGGAACGGAGAATAGAAGGGAGCGATGTGTCCACGCTGCTTCAGATGGCAAACGACTTCTACTCTGATCCTTTTGACCCGTGTCAAAGAGATCAGCGTAGAAGTCGTGATGACTTCCTCCATTGCCCTCCTGGATGCAATGATTGTCCCATGCGAACGTCGGAGGCCGATCATCTTGGTCTTACAGTTGGCGATGCGTCTTTTATTGCTTCTCTGCATTCGCAAGCTCGGACGTCGGCTGGTCGCAACATTGACGCTTCATGGTACCGTGGAACTCTCTCGCTTCTTAGCGCAGTCGTGGAGATGTTCAGCAAGCCGTTCGTATTCCTCGTTGTCGATTACAGAACTTCCCAGAGCCTATCGAAAGAGTGAAGTGGTCCCAGTTGGTGACAGTCTGGGGGCTTCGCTTCTTGAACTTTGCGGCTCTTTTCCTGGAACAGCGTAAATGTGGTTGATTTCTAACCTAGTCTAACAGGTAGCTGCTATAAAATAAAACATGAAAAGGTCTTAATAGTGAAAATGAACGGGAGCTCCCCGAGACTCCTCGCTTTCCGTAATTTATTGCATCTTGCTTGAAATGAATTGCAAAATCAGTAGCCCCGTTTCACTGCATTTCTTTGGTTCCAGGCAATTCCGTTAGATTCCTTTTCAGTCACGTCAGTGACGAATCACTTCCCAACTCCACTACCACTCCTTAGCAGCTCAAGGCATTCCTGCTCTCCCATGGAACATGCCTTCGAAGGTCAATGAAGTGTCCATCCATCAAAAAGGTAGTCTGGGTCCGCAACCACAGGAGTGTGCCTTTTGGTCTGAAAGAGCGCAGAAAACTAGCCGCGCGCTTATAGCATACGGTCTCCTGGGGCTCGCAAGTTGCCCGAGTTGTTGTCTTAAGGCCGTTGCGATCACTCGCACGCGGTTTTCTGGTCTTTCTCCTGCGCTCATCAGGGTACCTTCGTCCTTCGCATTATGCCTCTGATCTTGTCCGCTTTGTTTCTTGCTTTATTCCACTGCTGGAGATTAATTGCTAAAGGAAGGATCTAAGTCAGGCTCTCTTGTTTTCTTCCTCACTTATAGTCACCTAGCCCTGACACGTTTGTTTTCAAACCCCCTTGTTTAATAACTGCAATCGCAGAATGTGCCATTGAGCATTCATGACGTACCGCTGGATGACTGGGCACATGACGCTTTGCAAACTCCTTTAGCTGAAAGAGACTTTATTAACTGTGGCTGGCTTTCATCTGTCATGACCCTTGACTGGGTGATAAACGACTCTACTCAACCTTTGAAGCACGAGTCACTTCAATCAGCTGAGCGGACTAGTTCGTGATCTGGAACGGAGCACACTCTCGTTGATTCGCTGACGTGGGGAGCGCGTTTGACCGGTGGACGGAGTGGTTCATAAGCGAAGACTGAACCGAAAGTTGTTAAGCAAGTCAACGAGTCTTCAGCCGTACCCGATTGTCTCAAAAAACTTCTCCTTTCGATCACTACTCAGTTAAGTGCCTTGATAGAAGAGAATTCTTCACTTCGTAGCCGAATTGAGTCTTATAATGATTTAGAGAAGGAGAATAAGGAATTAAGGGAACGTTTGCAGAGATATGAGGGAAAAGAAACCACCGTCCCTTCTGTTCCTAATACTGAATCAAGCGCCATTTCTTTTGAAGAATTCGAAAGGAAACGATCTATCATTATTAGTGGGGTACCTGAATTGCATTCTAATAATCTTTGTGATCCTATTCACTATGATTTCCAGAGTGTTCTTAACATCTTGATTCATTTGAATATTGATTGTTTTCCTGTCTCCGTTTACAGGCTTGGGAAATCGATTCCTGGCAAAAATAGGATACTTAAGGTAGTCTTACCATGTTCCAAGTTTCAAAAATTAGCGGTGAAAAGGGCTTCCCATCTCCGCTCCTTTCCCGGAAGGGGAGTTTTCCTTAGGGAATCGCTCCCTTTGCAGGAGAGGATCAAGAGACGTGAAGAACGTTCATCATCCCCTCCTCAGTTTTCTCATGTGCATCGTGTCTCTTCCAATGGCAATATGACTTCGTCAGTTATTTTGAGTAATGCTTCTCCTCGTCTTTCGAATACTGTGTCGCATGATAAGGTAAACTAGAATCTCGTCCGCGGTTCTCTGCTCAGCCATCCAAGGATCTATATCTTGTTAGGCGTGTAAATAGACTTAGTCCTCAACGTACTACTAGGTGCCTATCGACAAACATTCGTTCTTTAGTCAAAAATATTCACTCCTTGAACTTTTTGCTCTCTAGATCGGAATACGGAGTCATTGCTCTTTCGGAAACTTGGTTGAAGTCCAATATTGATTTTTCCGCCCTTCTTGGAGAATCTGCTGTTCACTATGAAGTTTTTAGATGTGACCGTCCCGCGCAAAAAGGGGGGAGGGGTCGCGCTATTGATAAACCGTTCCCTTTGCCCAGTCTTTATTTTTGAGGAAACTATCTCCAGTGCATATGAGTTGCTGGCTGTAGACTCTTATGTTGATGGAGATAAATGGCGAATAGTCCTATGTTACCGAGCCCCTAGTTGTCCTAGTACCAAGACTGAAAAAATGATCAAATGTATAAGCGACCTGTGTGCTGGCACACATATTTGCCTCCTCACAGGAGATTTTAATTTCCCAGATATTGATTGGACCAAGCGTGAACATGTTTCTGGTGCACCCCAAAAGTTTATTGACATGGTAGATGCTCATAGATTACATCAGTACGTTTCGACTCCGGTCACAAGGTTTTGGATCTCCTATTTTGTTGTTTTGGATCTCCTATT